GAAACAAAAAAATATTTTCATGCAAAGGTTACCAGCTATCCTGGCAGAGTGGGGAAACTGCCCGAAACGCTGCGCGTACTTTACAAGACTTTACAAGGCTTTACAAGGCTTTACAAGAATGTAATTACTATGCTATGTATCCTCACAATCCCAATGTACCTTCTTGTATATATATAATTAAATAAAAATAAATAAATAAACTAGAACTGAGAAAGGTGTAGAAGGTGCTGGCAAGGATGAAACTACACAAGAAATACAAAGTCAGGAAGGGAAAATCTCAGAATCAGTACAGATGGCTAAAGATGACGACAAACAGAACAGTGTAACAAACTGCCCGATCCGTACAGACATTGACAGAGGGAGACAGACAAGAAAGAGGAACATATGTAAATTCTGTGCAAAGGGCATTTGCAGACATATATATTCTGGAAAGTGAAAGGGGTTAGACTACAGTTACCCTCACCCTAAAATATTCCCTAATTTGAAATTCATTTTGAGGCTATGAAGTGACTCGATCACAAGACTCGAATCTTGTGATTCCCAAACACCTGTATTAATGATCACCAAACCATTCACAAAAATGGAGAAACGACAACGTTTCGGTCCGACCTGAACCATTATCATGTCGTGTGAGAGAATAGAGGAAGGTACAGACAAATATATAAAGAGATTAAGATATAAAATTTCACTCAATACATTCTCTTGTGTCAGTTAGCATTTATAACCCTTCTTAAGTGCAAACCCTGTTCTGAAACTCTTCCTGGACAGATGTAATAGAACACATACCACACCAGACATAAATATCTCTTTGATATCCCCAGAGTCAAACTTAATCTGTGTAAACACTCTATGCAAATAAAGAGACCTAGCCTATGGAACTCACTCCCTAATGAATTGAAAAGCTGTCCAACTTTTGCCTTATTCAAAAATAAAACCAAAATGTACCTAATTTCATCTTCATAATTTTCTACCTTGTGCTTTATCTCGCACTGTATCTAGTGCTACCCAGTCCCCCAATATTTGTACCTAAGTCATATTACTTTACCATTGTAATCTTAGATAACATCTGATATCATGGTTGTTGTATTGAGTACATATTCTACTGCATTATTCCTTGAAATGATCCTCATATTGTGCTTCAGTGAACCAATGTATAACCCTGTAATGTTATCCTAATGTACCTAGAAATCCTTGTTCATTATTGTGTATTGTTATAATTGTGTATTATTTTAATCTGCTTTTGTGTCAAAATTTCTTGCAATGTACCTGTACAATTTTTTTGATAATTTTATTGTAATTATTCTAATTAAAATTATCTGTACCTGTAAAGTAAAGCTGTAAAGTACCTGTAAATTTTTTTTCAATTTTACTGTGAATAATCTAAAAATGATCTGTTAGTTTAAGGCCTTGCCCAAAACGCTATGCGCGCTAGTGGCTTTATAAGAATATAAAATCAAATTAATTTCTATGTTCTCTGTTAACCCCCAATGTACCTTCTTGTATATAATAAATAAATAAAGATGGTAGGTGAGGAGCAGGTAAGAGAAAGATTGCTAGGATGACTGTCAAAATAAGCTGAGAATAGGATGAATGTAAGAAGATGGTAAACATAGGATGAATGTAAGAATATGGTAAAAATAGGATAAATTTAAGAATGTTTTCAGATGTGGTAACTGTGACAGTGACCTCGTGCCATGACAAGGGTTGATCCTGCCCATCTCTTCTGTTTGGCGTGGACCATTTTCAATTCTCTGAGTGTCGGAGGCCTTTATGCGAGGTCAAGGTCATCGGGTTTTAGGTTCTGGACTGAACAATGGCTCGGTCCCACGACACATGTTCTTTGGTGTTGGGTAGAAGGTCCAGGACTTTGAAAGTGTCAGAGTGAGGACATTTGTTCAGTTTCCAGCTATGGGGATAATTCCTTTGCCAAACGCCCTGCATCTTTTAATGGAGAGAACGTGATTCTGCCTTTATATTTTGATATATGATTTCGCCTCTGCTCTTTTCACCTGGATTTTCAAATGCTTAGGTTCATTTGGATGTGTCTGAAATAGGTTCTTATCATTTTGCTTGTTGTCTACGCAGTTTAGCCACAACCTGCTATTCATCATTCTGTGAAGCTATGATACAAAGCCCTTACTGAGTTTTGTCTTTGCTGGCTTCATAATTGCGGTACTATATTTCTTGTCTGGCAGTTTTTCGAATAGCTGGAACTCTTGGATTTCATGCGTGCTTAAGGCCAAGGCTTCTGGTCTTTCGGTGCTGTTACTCATGGCCTTCAATGCCAACTTTTTGAAATCCTAGTTCTTCCTGACCCAGTTTCGGATTGGGTATTGGATATTTTTGAGCTTCAAGACAGCTGTTATTTAGTGCTCTTTTCCCTTTTTCATTTGAACAATTTTGAACACTTGTTTGTGACTGGAATTTGGTTTTCAGTTGCTCTTTGCCGGTTAGGAGTTAGGTTCTCCTGGTCACTGGTTCTAGGTATGAGGGAGCCGAGCGGCCGAGCGGACAGCACGCTGGACTTGTGATCCTGTGGTCCTGGGTTCGATCCCAGGCGCCGGCGAGAAACATTGGGCAGAGTTTCTTTCACCCTATGCCCGTTACCTAGCAGTAAAATAGGTACCTGGGTGTTAGTCAGCTGTCACGGGCTGCTTCCTGAGGGTGGAGACTTGGTCGAGGACCGGGCCGCGGGGACACTAAAAAGCCCCGAAATCATCTCAAGATAACCTCAAGATAATAATCTCCTTTCAAGTAATAAATGCATAGTTCAATGCATGGGTGAGTGGCAGTTTGGTTCCTCTGTGCATTTTTTCTCTCTGACAACTTTCTATCTGCTGTCTTTTTTTCCTATCTTTCCATGAGTTTGGTTGTGTATCGAAGGATCTGCCCATTCTCTTTCCCATGGGTGATGGACCTAGCGGACAGTAGTGCTCCTTCATTTGTTGGGACTTGGATCCCAAGGTGATGCAGATTAGCCACATTGTGGCCATTCTTATGGTGTTCCACAACGGGGGTTACAAACAGTTCTCTTGGTTCGTTTGTTCCACATCCGTCAGTTTACTGTAGAAGGTGACAGTAGACAGAAATTATTTTGTGTAGTTATGTTAGAGGTTTGGGAGGCCACAGGTGAATTTATTTGCTTCGACGTCAAGTCTTTAGTTTTTGGTTTATTCATTTCATTTTTAGACTGCAAGGTTTTCTTTGGATAACCTACACAGGAGCTCGTCCCGTTTGGATTTCAGGACAGTTCTATCTTCATAAAGTTCTGCTTCATTTGGCTTTCAAGTTGAAGATTTTGCCGATATCGTCATTCTCCTGGCAACTGTGTGGCTTCCGCTATCATAATACCCAGTCCTTCTCACACTTTGGCCCATTCAGTTTCATTTTCTTCAACTTCTTTTTGGAATCGGTATCTGCCACTTTTCCTAAACTTTATCTAAGGCTTTCTTAATTGCTGTTATATTGGTCTTTCCCTCTTTTGTGCTATCAGTTGGATTTTAGGGGTCAGTTTGTGATGGCTTCTTTCATCCATATTTGTACGACATCCATAAAATTTAAATTCACTGGTAAGCCCCTTAATGTTTTGTCTTCGTTTCATTTAATTCATGTTTTTCATTCAGGTTTTCTGAACAGTATTAGGATTATTCTGCTGGGTTCCTAGTTCGAGGCACCACAGTGAAGAAGCTGTTAGGGGCTAATCTAGAAATGAAGCATTGAATATAATGAAGTGTCCCTTTATGGGGCGAAGGCTCCCTCTCTTTCCTCTCTATTTTCCCTTCTTATCCTTGGGTTTAGGTCTTTGCTCAAGCTGGAGAAGGATGGGTTGAGCGGCGCCAGGCCCCGGGTTGACTAGTGCTGCCATCTGGTGGCAGGAGGGGGAAGCAGCAGTGATTTGTGGAGCTTGTGAATAGTTCTTAGTTTTTTTTGCTATTCGTTCTTGTCAAACATTTCTCTGAGTGTTTTGAGTTTTTTAGTCTCAGAATTTTTAGTAGGGGTCTTCCCTCGGTGCATGGCGTCCCCCCTTCACCTTAAGTGTGGAGGCAAAATTGTGGTCCTTGTCTTAGGTAGGCCAGGAGAAAGTCCGGGACACCTGGGAGCCGGTCGGCCGAGCGGACAGCACGCTGGACTTGTGATCCTGCGGTCCTGGGTTCGATCCCAGGCGCCGGCGAGAAACAATGGGCAGAGTTTCTTTCACCCTATGCCCCTGTTACCTAGCAGTAAAATAGGTACCTTGGTGTTAGTCAGCTGTCACGGGCTGCTTCCTGGGGGTGGAGTCCTGGTCGAGGACCGGGCCGCGGGGACACTAAAAGCCCCGAAATCATCTCAAGATAACCTCAAGATAACCTGGGGAGAGAGTACTGGCCCTAAGGCACCAGTGCATATGCTTCGGGGTAGTCAAAGAAGGGGTGGCCAGCAAAGGGGAAAACCATGTTTACAATGTCATTCTGATTTTGGAATCTACGTCATACACATAGATATACAGCCCGTCCTCCTATAATGGTGTGACTTATAGCAACCATCTGGTTATATGCATCAATATGTACTCTTGGACCACCCAAAAGTTTATGTTTTGTATTAATTAGTTAGCCAAAATGGCATTCTAGATAATCGAAAATGTAACTAAGGAGCGTAACGTAACGTAACGGAACCTTTCCATGGAATCCTAGACCTAATAACTGTCTTAGGCTTAATATTGTAAATATGTGCTGTTTAAGCCAAGGATAGTTTAACTTTGGTTTTTAGACTTTTGTCTTTAACTCTGTCAAATTAATAGTACAAATCGTTAACTTGGTTTGGGCTTAACAGTACGCATTGGTACGTTCTACCAAATAGATGCTATAAGTACTCTCATTTTAAGAGGATGGACTGATATATTAGGTATGCCGAGGAATCTGTTTTTAACATTCACTAATTCACCTTTTTGGTATAATAGATTTGCATATTAAAAATAATATATAATGTGGGTAAATAGAACTAGAAAGTGAATTTCGACTCACATGTAGTTAGCTAAATTATGTTCCTTGAGTACGTGCATATCGAAGCCATGCGGCACAGCGTCGAAGTAGTCGCTGCCTATACCGCAGATGAAGCAGTTGCTCTCCAGGTTCTCCTTCACCGACTCCAGCTGGTCTCTCAGTTCACCAAAGGCGTCGATGATAAGACCTGTAGAGGAGCAGAAAGTGTTAAAATGAAATACTTGTTAGGCAACATAAAAATACTAGGCTTTGTAGTCCGAGCAATGCAAACTACATAGTTAAACATTTAACATACTTTTCCGAAACTAATAAGTTATACATGTTTAAGAAGATTTCAACCAATCATTGCCTCCCATTGCAAGAACCACGTCGTGATGGTGGTGCTTGAGCACTGTTCGTGTCTGCTAGGTAAGAAACACGTCGTAAACTGTCTGTGACTTTGCCGCCTTAGTGTTTACTGCGCATGGAGACTCGTGTATTCTCTGCCGGGAAACACATTTCTTCAGTGGAGAGACAGAAGTAAAACGGAAGGCTCAGTGGGGGTTCGACTTTTTATTGGTTACCTGAATATACTCTCCATGTTACCCCTTGGGCGCCTTGGATTCTTGTGCCTCCCTTGTTGAGCTCCTTGGTGGATGAAGGCGCAGGGAAGAGACGTATAATATTATTTGTTATGTCTATCCATTCCTCATCAACCACTAAGACCCGTGTGGCGGGTGATCAGACCCGTGTGGCTGAGGGTCAGATCCATGTGGTTGACGATCAAATCTGTGTGGCTGGGGATCAGACCCATATGGTGGGGGATCAGACCCGTATGGTGGACGATCAGACCCGTGTGGTGGGGGATCAGACCCGTGTGGTGGGGGATCAGACCCGTGTGGCGGGGGATCAGACCCGTGTGGTGGGGGATCAGACCCGTATGGTGGACGATCAGACCCGTGTGGTGGGGGATCAGACCCGTGTGGCGGGGGATCAGACCTGTGTGGTGGGGGATCAGACCCGTGTGGCGGGGGATCAGACCCGTGTGGTGGGGGATCAGACCCGTATCGTGGACGATCAGACCCGTGTGGTGGGGGATCAGACCCGTGTGGTGGGGGATCAGACCCGTGTGGTGGGGGATCAGACCCGTGTGGTGGGGGATCAGACCCGTGTGGTGGGGGATCAGACCCGTGTGGTGGGGGATCAGACCCGTGTGGTGGGGGATCAGACCCGTGTGGCGGGGGATCAGACCTGTGTGGTGGGGGATCAGACCCGTGTGGCGGGGGATCAGACCCGTGTGGTGGGGGATCAGACCCGTGTGGTGGACGATCAGACCCGTGTGGTGGGGGATCAGACCCGTGTGGTGGGGGATCAGACCCGTGTGGTGGGGGATCAGACCCGTGTGGTGGGGGATCAGACCCGTGTGGAGGGGGATCAGACCCGTGTGGTGGGGGATCAGACCCGTGTGGGGGGGGATCAGACCCGTGTGGTGGGGGATCAGACCCGTTTGGCGGGGGATCAGACCTGTGTGGTGGGGGATCAGACCCGTGTGGCGGGGGATCAGACCCGTGTGGCGGGGGATCAGACCCGTGTGGCGGGGGATCAGACCTGTGTGGTGGGGGATCAGCCCCGTGTGGTGGGGGATCAGACCTGTGTGGCAGGGGATCAGACTCATGTGGGGGGGATCAGACTCGTGTGGCGGGGGATCAGACCCGTGTGGTGGGGAATCAGACCTGTGTGGCGGGGGATCAGACCCGTGTGGTGGGGGATCAGACCCGTGTGGTGGGGGATCAGACCCGTGTGGCGGGGGATCAGACCTGTGTGGCAGGGGATCAGACCCGTGTGGTGGGGGATCAGACCTGTGTGGTGGGGGATCAGACTCATGTGGGGGGGATCAGACCCGTGTGGCGGGGGATCAGACCCGTGTGGTGGGGGATCAGACCTGTGTGGCGGGGGATCAGACCTGTGTGGTGGGGGATCAGACTCATGTGGGGGGGATCAGACTCGTGTGGCGGGGGATCAGACCCGTGTGGTGGGGGATCAGACCTGTGTGGCGGGGGATCAGACCCGTGTGGTGGGGGATCAGACCCGTGTGGTGGGGGATCAGACCCGTGTGGCGGGGGATCAGACCTGTGTGGTGGGGGATCAGACCTGTGTGGTGGGGGATCAGACTCATGTGGGGGGGATCAGACTCGTGTGGCGGGGGATCAGACCCGTGTGGTGGGGGATCAGACCCGTGTGGCGGGGGATCAGACCCGTGTGGCGGGGGATCAGACCCGTGTGGCGGGGGATCAGACCCGTATGGCGGGGGATCAGACCCGTGTGGCGGGGGATCAGACCCGTGTGGCGGGGGATCAGACCCGTGTGGCGGGGGATCAGACCTGTGTGGCGGGGGATCAGACCCGTGTGGCGGGGGATCAGACCCGTGTGGCGGGGGATGGTGTGGCGGGGGATCAGACCCGTGTGGCGGGGGATCAGACCCGTGTGGTGGGGGATCAGACCCGTGTGGCGGGGGATCAGACCCGTGTGGCGGGGGATCAGACCCGTGTGGCGGGGGATCAGACCCGTGTGGCGGGGGATCAGACCCGTGTGGCGGGGGATCAGACCCGTGTGGCGGGGGATCAGACCTGTGTGGTGGGGGATCAGACTCATGTGGGGGGATCAGACTCGTGTGGCGGGGGATCAGACCAGTGTGGTGGGGGATCAGACCTGTGTGGCGGGGGATCAGACCCGTGTGGTGGGGGATCAGACCCGTGTGGTGGGGGATCAGACCCGTGTGGCGGGGGATCAGACCTGTGTGGTGGGGGATCAGACCCGTGTGGTGGGGGATCAGACCTGTGTGGTGGGGGATCAGACTCATGTGGGGGGGATCAGACTCGTGTGGCGGGGGATCAGACCCGTGTGGTGGGGGATCAGACCCGTGTGGCGGGGGATCAGACCCGTGTGGCGGGGGATCAGACCCGTGTGGCGGGGGATCAGACCCGTGTGGCGGGGGATCAGACCCGTGTGGCGGGGGATCAGACCCGTGTGGCGGGGGATCAGACCCGTGTGGCGGGGGATCAGACCCGTGTGGCGGGGGATCAGACCCGTGTGGCGGGGGATCAGACCCGTGTGGCGGGGGATCAGACCCGTGTGGCGGGGGATCAGACCCGTGTAGCGGGGGATCAGACCCGTGTGGCGGGGGATCAGACCCGTGTGGCGGGGGATCAGACCCGTGTGGCGGGGGATCAGACCCGTGTGGCGGGGGATCAGACCTGTGTGGCGGGGGATCAGAACCGTGTGGCGGGGGATCAGACCCGTGTGGCGGGGGATCAGACCCGTGTGGCGGGGGATCAGACCTGTGTGGCGGGGGATCAGACCTGTGTGGCGGGGGATCAGACCTGTGTGGCGGGGGATCAGAACCGTGTGGCGGGGGATCAGACCCGTGTGGCGGGGGATCAGACCCGTGTGGCGGGGGATCAGACCCGTGTGGCGGGGGATCAGACCTGTGTGGCGGGGGATCAGACCTGTGTGGTGGGGGATCAGACCTGTGTGGTGGGGGATCAGACCTGTGTGGTGGGGGATCAGACCTGTGTGGTGGGGGATCAGACCTGTGTGGTGGGGGATCAAACCCGTGTGTCGAGAACGTCCTTCTGGAAGATCTCCCTACTCCACCAGGAGTAGATACAGGTACTGAGAGAGAGGTACTAACTCTCTCCTCCCCCACCACATCTGTGGTTATGGCTACCACTGCAGCACCTGGTGGTACGCGTCTCTCCTTACTAACGAATTCTTGGACGACTGTTACGATAGCGTGGTATAGTCCCTCACTACTCCTAGGAGGGCGGCGGTGTCGTATCTCACTTGGTTCCGCTCTCATACCTCATGCATTCCGACATTTGTTATATTTAATCAATCTACTTAGACCAAATATTACGATCTTAATTTTACGGAATAGCATACGGTTGTTAACGATCACCTACTATGATGTTCACCCGCTTTAGTTCGTATAGCTTACATGAATTCAAGGGGCTGTCAACTTGAAGGCCATTTTCTTAACAGAGATCAATCTTGAATGCATAAGCAAGTATTATCTGTAATGGTATATGAGTTTTTGTTAAGTTTGCTGATTTTGAGCAAGTTCCACATGATTCTTGGGAATTCGGTTATTGAATTGGTATTGAGAAATCTCTATACCAGCTTCAATAGTTGCAAGAGATTTGACGTTTTTTTAGAATAAATTTAGCAAAAACATTCACAATTGACTGTCAAAAGTAATTTTAGAACAGGTAAAGCTATGTTGATTGTTCTTTTTTCTGTATCTCCACTTTTTATAGTTACATTTTGAATGATGAACCATCCAACACTTCTTGATACAAGTATTATACTTCTTAATACATTATTGTTGTGATTTAAGTTCTTTCCAATCACGCCTCACAAATTCCTTTCACACGAAGGTTTACTTAAATGCACATTATTGAGCCGATATCTAATACAGCAGCTTTCCCAAACATAAAAATTTTGTAACTTCTCTGTTTAAATGGCTTATATAAAAGATTTATTCATCAAGCAAAAGGTAACTATTTGATAGTAAAAGTTAAAAAGAGAACAAGTTGATTAAGATCATTAGCAACTGAGATAAGCAAAGCAAAGGGATAATCTATTATTTTATCCAAACAAAGAAACTTGCACAAAAAGGAAGCAACTTAGACTGGAGGTAAATAGAAAGCAACAATGTCAAGTTAAGAGAACTTGCCCTGAATAATAGCCAGCAGGATAACAATGATGAAGAAGAAGAAGGTGATATCGAAGATGATGCGGTAGAGCTCGTAGTCGTCGCCATCAGGGGATTCGATTTCGTCGCCGATACCGCCACCGGCTCGAACACCTTTATACAGGTGGAACACGAAGCACTGCAAGTACAAACAAAGTTACAATTACACTGCTGCTCTTCCTCTCAGTCAATAACCAAGCCTTAACCCAACACTTACACTGCTGCTCTCCCTCCCAGTCAATAACCAAGCCTTAACCCAACACTTACACTGCTGCTCAACTCCCTCTCAGACAATAACCAAGCCTTAACCCAACACTTACACTGCTGCTCTTCCTCTCAGTCAATAACCAAGCCTTAACCCAACACTTACACTGCTGCTCTCCCTCTCAGTCAATAACCAAGCCTTAACCCAACACTTACACTGCTGCTCTCCCTCCCAGTCAATAACCAAGCCTTAACCCAACACTTACACTGCTGCTCTCCCTCCCAGTCAATAACCAAGCCTTAACCCAACACTTACACTGCTGCTCTCCATCCCAGTCAATAACCAAGCCTTAACCCAACACTTACACTGCTGCTCTCCCTCCCAGTCAATAACCAAGCCTTAACCCAACACTTACACTGCTGCTCTCCCTCCCAGTCAATAACCAAGCCTTAACCCAACACTTACACTGCTGCTCTCCCTCTCAGACAATAACCAAGCCTTAACCCAACACTTACACTGCTGCTCTCCCTCTCAGACAATAACCAAGCCTTAACCCAACACTTACACTGCTGCTCTCCCTCTCAGACAATAACCAAGCCTTAACCCAACACTTACACTGCTGCTCTCCCTCTCAGACAATAACCAAGCCTTAACCCAACACTTACACTGCTGCTCTCCCTCTCAGACAATAACCAAGCCCTAACCCAACACAGTAATACCGTCTTAAATGCCATGTGTCTTGAACATTTAAAATACTTTCTCGTGAGACACAGTATCAAGACACTTCGTTAAAGTCAAGGAAAAAAACGCCATCATCGTTTATCTTGTCAATTACTCGAAAAATTCTGGAAAAGAATGTGAATTAATTTGTTACAACACAAGCAGTGCTTAGTAAAGCCACGTTATGAATCCTTATTAATCTATTTTTTCAAGGTGTAAGCGAATGAAATTTTATGAATACAAATTCAAAAAAATTCGAACAATAGAGTATAAGTTAAGTGCATCTGTGGTCTTTCTTAAACCTTAGCACCACATTGGCAACTCTCCACGACTTTGATGATGTGCTTGATTCACTGATTTATTGTACAATGTACGAGTAGAGACAAAGGCTAAGTAAGATCTTCTTAACACAATCCCTAAACACACTGGCAAATATTTCGTCTGGCCGTGGTGACCTGATGAGTAATAAATTATATAGCTGTCTAATAACTTCCTTTCTGGTAATAACCCAACTCGTGGGCGTCTGCTCTTCACCTCCCACACTCTACTTCACCTGCAGGAATAACACCAAGTACTTCTCTAGTAGTAGTACTCTAGTAGTAGTACTCTAGTAGTAGTACTCTAGTAGTAGTACTCTAGTAGTAGTACTCTAGTAGTAGTACTCTAGTAGTAGTACTCTAGTAGTAGTACTCTAGTAGTAGTACTCTAGTAGTAGTACTCTAGTAGTAGTACTCTAGTAGTAGTACTCTAGTAGTAGTACTCTAGTAGTAGTACTCTAGTAGTACACAAAGAACTTATTAATATACAATTATCATGAACAATAGTGACCTGACCTTCTCAGTTTTCAGTGACCTGAGCATATACTGGTTACAGAATTCCGTTGTGGATATATGAAGCAAATTGCTGAGCGTAAGTAATAGATGTGTGAGTGAGTTATTGTTTCCAGCACAGGTTAGATGTGTGCATGAGTGAGCCTGACTTGGTATAAATAAGAAGTGACTTGCATCTACACTTTCTCCAGTTATTATATCCTTACGAAAAAATTCAACCAAAGCTGGCTTACCTAATAGGCCAAGTAGGTCATGGCTTAGGGCCCACCAGCACCAGGGGATTTCCACACACACAAGTGATTGTTTATTGTTAGTTGTCGGGAATTTATAGCAAATATTTTAGCTTCATGAATCATTGTCAAAGCCTTTCTCTTTATTCCACCTGCTTCATTATAATCTGTCTCTGTGTCTGTTCGTTTCACTTCTTTCTCTGCCTGTGTGTGTGTTTGGGTCCTTGTGTCTCTCAGTGAGAGCCTGGACATGTTCCGGAGTTGTTGTAGGCGAAGTGTGTATGGAGGTATATACATTTTTGTGAGTGACGTCATCAAAACGTTTTCAGTACGTTAACAACAAAGTATAACAAGTAGACTTAGTTTTCTTATTTTTCCCAAGATCAGTGCGTAATGTTTTACGACACTTTAAGAAAAACATAATTGTTGCTATTTTTGTTTTGATTTTGAGAGAGGGTCAAAACAGTGCCAGTAATAACAAGGATTTCACTACAGGATCATGACACTCAGAACTTGTTTGAATAATGCCAATCCCAACCAGCGATGTTCTACACTTACCCTAGAGCAATCATCATGCAAAATTTGGTGAGGCTAGCCCGAAGCCTCTGGCATCCAACCGCAGAGAGACTGACTGACAGATGTTCTACTTTATAAGTACAGTATATGCAATTAAGGATGGGCTACAATAATATTACATCTCATAAATATCATCACTGTTTTTGGCATACTACATAACTCACTTTAAGTAGGTTCATAAACTTTACAAGAACCACTTGTATTTACAAAAGCATTCATATTATAGTATATCCAGGTGTCTGCATGAAAACGGGAATTTAACATGTGATGTTAATTGTTCATTTCCCCCAATGTATGTTAAATATTTACAGTATTCACACACAGAGATCACACTAACATGATGCATCAAATGAACAAATCCACAAGGGCCGTGACGAGGATTCCAACCTGCGTCCGGGAGCATCCCAGACACTGCCTTAATCGACTGAGCTACGACAGGGTAAAAGGGTTGAAACCGAAGTTCTACTGAACTTACTGGATCCCGTAGCCTCTCCGAGGCACAAACCAGGCTTTTACACAACCCCCCCCACCCCCCTGCACCCGAGCTATGTCAACAGGCCGTTCTCCCTCTTCGCCCTTACATCATCACACACACAGATCACACTAACGTGATGCATCAAATGAACAAATAATTTGTTCTAGAACTTCGGTTTCAACCGAAGTTCGGTTATATATATATATATATATATATATATATATATATATATATATATATATATATATATATATATATATATATATCCTACTAACACCTGAAACGCATCTCAGATTGTCCATTTCCTCCGCTCCACCGTCTTGGTTCTTCAGTGCTAGACCGCGCTAGCATCTCACAAACCAGCGCTCTTTGAAGAAATGAATACAGTGAATAAGTGAATAAAACTGTGAAAAACAAATATTTGTGAGTTAAGGCTCGCTACTGACCGTGAGCATGTCGTGACACTTCTGGTCCACCACGTCGTCTTCCTCAGAGATATAGAACTTCCTGAAGAAGTTGAAGGCGATGACAGTGTAGCAGTATACTATGATGGTCAGCAGCATGCATGTTAAGATCAACTGAAAGACAACAAAAAATGGGTTTCTGTACACAAAGCGAAAGAGATCCAATCCTATACTTTTTAAATGTATCTTCAAGACAGATATAGAAACAAATATTTAACCTAGAAATATCAATATAGTTATTAACGAATATCTCACTTTTCTTCAAATCTGAATATTAGAACAAGTTTGACATTTACTTTCAGGCAATAAGCTACTTTGATGTTAAAATTATTTGTAAATAGTTGCATCTTAGGCTGTAATTAGTGCAAGTGTGAGGGATGGATGAGAGACCTGTTTGCCGTTGTGTGTGACGGACTGGAGGATGGTCTTGAGCGAGGGGATGGACACAGCCACGTCCAGCAGGTGAGCAGCGAAGAAGAAGTAGTTGACGTTTCCCAGCATGGAGAAGGTCAGGTACCACAGGTTGTACAGGAATTGCTGAGGAAAACGAATGCAGGTTAAAATAGCTTTTAATATATATGCTTGTCTGCTTCTTCACGTGTTGTTGTCAAGATCTCTCTCACTATGTTGGGCCTAATCGTGTCTACACACAAATATATATTATCTATATATCTGTGAATGTGTGGAATTCCATCAACTTGGCCCTGGATATCAGCCTCCAAACAATTAGCATTCTTCTCTATCCCCTACGGTTCTCTGTTATGAATTCTTACATTGAGTTTTCCTTTATTACATCTTTTTACTTCTTAACCGATTTGATAAATAAATAATCTCCCTAATATCCGTTCGGCTATTTTTGGTATTTAACAAATATCTGAGCCAGTTAAATGCTTAGTTTCATGTCACTTATTTATTCACAAGAATCCTTATTGATGATTATTTGCCAATATTATTACCACTAGTGAATGTTATATGTATAACAAAAATATTAAACTGCCAATGAGCAACTCGGCCAACTTTTCCAAACGACTGCAAACAGGCCAAATGGGATAACCCCATAGTGGAGAACATTGCCGGAGGCAGCTTCTGGGAAAGGACAAAGCATGCCTCCTCGCTGTGCAAGCTCCCCATGCTGGGGACTTCCTGTTGGCTATCCCTAATTCCGACTTAGGCACCCACCTGAACCATCGGGCCATAAGTATTAGTATTGCCCTGTGCCTTGCCACAGGGCAAAGCACAGAACAATATCTTCACAGGTCGAAATAGAACAGGTCGCAATATCTACAGAACACCGATGTGTTTGCGGCTATGCGCGGGCAGACCAATACGGCAGCCATGGTCTCATCTGTCATAAGTCACTAGGAAAGGTTGCCAGACATGAAGCAGTCAATGACATCATCAAGAGAAGTTTGGCTACAGCTGGGTGTCCAGCACAAAGGGAACCTCAGTTGTGCAGACCATATTATATATATATATATATATATATATATATATATATATATATATATATATATATATATATATATACACATTCGCGAACTTACTCTGTAAAGTAAGGCAGGTCCTAGTCCATAATGGCTTCTCTAACAGTTATGTTGATGACGTCATTAAAAGAAAGGTGACACGCCATGCAACTTCTGAAAAGTCAACCAACACAACACTTGTAACTCCATTCAGATTGGTTTACAGGAACTTCTTTTCCACGGCTCATAAAACGGAGAAAAGTGTTCTGAGAGATATTATTGATAGAAACGTTATCCCACACAAACACAAATCAGAAGATACAATTAACAATTTACTACATAAACAAGAAGACCGCCAACCAAATCATGAAGAACTCTCCAGACACCAAACAGAACGCCTTAAAAGAGACCAACGTCGTCTATGCCTTCACATGCCCACTTGGGGACTATCAGCCCCAAATATCTCAGTAGATAGGCAATACAACAGCATCTCTCTCTAGGCGATTAACAATGCACAAACAACAGGGCTCCATCAAGGAGCATATAATCTCCTCACACAACCAGACCACACAACAGATCAAAAAGTCAAGACCAGCAATCAGCAACCAATTAACACATAAGTACATTCTATCCACTTCAAGACCCTGAACCAACACAAAGACAGTAGAAGCAAGAAGATAGGCATTTAACGGCCTATCCAGAGTGATATGATTATGCCATTCATCCACTTATTCATCTCAATCACGTCCTGTACCACCTCACCCCCAAGCGATTATAAGCCTTGGTAAAGCATGGAAAATTTAGGTTCGCCCTCTGCAATATGGTATCTTCCGGTCACCAAGTTAGAAAGGGTACATATCCCAAAAGGAAACCATAGGGAAATAGCAGTTCGGTTATATAGACTACGAATAGGTTATAGATGCAACTGGGAGATTGGTGAACCCCGACAGAGAGAAATGCATCTTTTGCCAAACAATCACAGAAAAGCCATTACTTCACTATCTCCTGGAATGTGAAGCAACCAGCGATCTTAGAAGAGCTTTAAGAGTCCCTGAATCTTGCAGTAGGCACCCTGAAGCCATCAACACAGCCACTCTTCTGGTCATGAAGGTGTCCAGCAGCTGGACAACCCCATGAATACTGTCAAGCAGTACCCTCCCCAGAGATAGCAGCCTGACGATTAAATACGACCTCAGCCCACTGAGTGCGACCTCAGCACACTGTATACATTTACTGAACAAAACTTTTACATTGCTGGATCAACAATCAACAGCCAATTAATGCACAACTATATTCTACCCACTTCAAGACTCCGCACCAATATAGAAGCATCAAGAATTATGGGCCAATAGGCCCTTTGCAGTTACTTCCATTCTTCCCTTTAACTTACAAAATATTATACCCATTGTTTTGTGTTCTGTCTTGTGTTTAAAGTTTGTTTTCACCTCATCCAAAACTGTTGTAACATATCACCTCACCCAAATGCAGGTATAAAATCGAAGCTGTTTAAACTGTTCAGTTATAGTTGTGTGTGTGTAAACTAAAGTCTTTGAAAATGTAATAAGTTTTACGAAACGCATTCAAGTGTCGCGTCAGACTAGAAATAAAAATGAATTTTGGAGAATTGATTTTTCAGTTACCATCAACAGTGTCGCGTCAGACGCGACAGACTAGAAAGTGTCGCGTCAACTAAGTGTCGCGTCAGACTAGAAATAAAAATGAATTTTGGAGAATTGATTTTTCAGTTACCATCAACAGTGAAAAGAAATACAAGAAAGATTGAGAAAATTCGTGTTAGAATTATTAATCTTACTTTTTCGGTCATATTTAATAATATATATATATATATATATATATATATATATATATATATATATATATATATATATATATATATATATATATATATATATATATATGTCGTACCTAGTAGCCAGAACGCACTTCTCAGCCTACTATGCAAGGCCCGATTTGCCTAATAAGCAAAGTTTTCATGAATTAATATATTTTCTCTAATTTTTTTCTTATGAAATGATAAAGCTACACATTTCATTATGTATGAGGTAATTTTTTTTTATTGGAGTTAAAATTAACATAGATATATGACCGAACCTAACCAACCCTACCTAACCTAACCTAACCTATCTTTATAGGTTAGGTTAGGTTAGGTGGCCGAAAAAGTTAGGTTAGGTTAGGTTAGGTAGGTTAGGTAGTCGAAAAACAATTAATTCATGAAAACTAGGCTTATTAGGCAAATCGGGCCTTGCATATTAGGCTGAGAAGTGCGTTCTGGCTACTAGGTACGACATATATATATATATATGTCGTACCTAGTAGCCAGAACTCACTTTTCAGCCTACAATGCAAGGCCCGATTTGCCTAATAAGCCAAGTTTTCATGAATTAATATATTTTCTCTAATTTTGTTCTTATGAAATGATAAAGCTACCCATTTCATTATGTAAGAGGTCAATTTTTTTTTATTGGAGTTAAAATTAACGTAGATATATGACCGAACCTAACCAACCCTACCTAACCTAACCTAACCTATCTCTATAGGTTAGGTTAGGTTAGGTAGCCGAAAAAGTTAGGTTAGGTTAGGTTAGGTAGGTTAGGTAGTCGAAAAGCAATTAATTCATGAAAACTTGGCTTATTAGGCAAATCGGGCCTTGCATAGTAGGCTCAGAAGTGAGTTCTGGCTACTAGGTACGACATATATATATATATATATATATATATATATATATATATAATTGTTTGAATGAATTAATTATGAATTAATTGTTTTTCGACTACCTAACCTACCTAACCTAACCTAACCTAACTTTTTCGGCTACCTAACCTAACCTAACCCATAAAGATAGGTTAGGTTAGGTTAGGTAGGGTTGGTTAGGTTCGGTCATATATCTACGTTAATTTTAACTCCAATAAAAAAAAATTGACCTCATACATAATGAAATAAGTAGCTTTATCATTTCAACAGAAAAAAATTTGAGAAAATATATTAATTCTGGAAAACTTGGCTTATTAGGCAAATCGGGCCTTGCATAGTAGGCCGAGAAGTGCGTTCTGGCTACTAGGTACGACATATATATATATATATATATATATATATATATATATATATATATATATATATATATGTTGTACCTAGTAGCCAGAACGTCGTACTCGGCCTGCTATGCAAGGCCCGATTTGCCTAATAAGCCAAGTTTTCCTGAATTAATATATTTTCTCTATTTTTTTTTCTTATGAAATGATATAGCTACCCATTTCATTATGTATGTGGTCAATTTTTTTTGAGTTAAAATTAACATAGATATATGACCGAACCTAACCAACCCTACCTAACCTAACCTATCTTTATAGGTTTGTTAGGTTAAGTATCCGAAAAAGTTAGGTTAGGTAGGTTAGGTAGTCGAAAAACAATTCATGAAAACTTGGCTTATTAGGCAAATCGGGCCTTGCATAGTAGGCTGAGAAGTGCGTTCTGGCTACTAGGTACGACATATATATATATATATATATATATATATATATATATATATATATATATATATATATATATATATATATATATATATGTCGTACCTAGTAGCCAGAACTCACTTCTCAGCCTACTATTCAAGGCCCGATTTGCCTAATAAGCCAAGTTTTCCTGAATTAATATATTTACTATAATTTTTTTCTTGTGAAATGATAAAGCAACCCTTTTCTCTATGTATGAGGTCAATTTTTTTTTATTGGAGTTAAAATTAACGTAGATATATGACCGAACCTAACCAACCCTACCTAACCTAACCTAACCTATATTTATAGGTAAGGTTAGGTTAGGTAGCAGAAAAAAGCTAGGTTAGGTTAGGTTAGGTAGGTTAGGTAGACGAAAAAACATTAACTCATGAAAACTTGGCTTATTAGGCAAATCAGGCCTTGAATAGTAGGCTGAGAAGTGCGTTCTGGCTACTAGGTACGACATATATATATATATATATATATATATATATATATATATATATATATATATATATATATATATATATATATATATATATATATATATATATATTTTAAAACCTAGAAGGGGTACCACCTCTGGTGCAAGTGTAGGGACCCATAGCCTCGGAGAAGAAAATAAAGAGTACTCAGAGAAGACCTTGTGGATCCTCACTGAACACTTTGATATTTTCTTCTACCACTCCCTATTCTTTTGGTATGTGTGTATATTTATCTAACTTTATTTCACACCCCCCAAAACTCACACCCCAGAAGTGACTCGAACCCATACTCCCACAACTGGTATGTACAGGGACGCCTTAATCCGCTTGACCATCACGACCGGACATAAGGAAGTGATAGCCGAGGCTATTTGAACCACTTCCCCGCCGGCACTCGTCGGCACTAAGGCGTCCCTGTACATACCAGTTGTGGGAGTATGGGTTCGAGTCACTTCTGGGGTGTGAGTTTTCAGTTGTATATAGTCCTGGGGACCATTCAGGCTTGTTTGCATTTGTGTTCCTCACGTGTGCCCCAAAGAATGAGGTGATTTGATAAAATGCTATGCCCAAGATTACCATCCGAGTGCCGGCGGGGAAGTGGTTCAAATAGCCTCGGCTATCACTTCCTTATGTCCGGTCGTGATGGTCAAGCGGATTAAGGCGTCCCTGTACATACCAGTTGTGGGAGTATGGGTTCGAGTCACTTCTGGGGTGTGAGTTTTCAGTTGTATATAGTCCTGGGGACCATTCAGGCTTGTTTGCATTTGTGTTCCTCACGTGTGCCCCAAAGAATGAGGTGATTTGATAAAATGCTATGCCCAAGATTACCATCCGAGTGCCGGCGGGGAAGTGGTTCAAATAGCCTCGGCTATCACTTCCTTATGTCCGGTCGTGATGGTCAAGCGGATTAAGGCGTCCCTGTACATACCAGTTGTGGGAGTATGGGTTCGAGTCACTTCTGGGGTGTGAGTTTTCAGTTGTATATAGTCCTGGGGACCATTCAGGCTTGTTTGCATTTGTGTTCCTCACGTGTGCCCCAAAGAATGAGGTGATTTGATAAAATGCTATGCCCAAGATTACCATCCGAGTGCCGGCGGGGAAGTGGTTCAAATAGCCTCGGCTATCACTTCCTTATGTCCGGTCGTGATGGTCAAGCGGATTAAGGCGTCCCTGTACATACCAGTTGTGGGAGTATGGGTTCGAGTCACTTCTGGGGTGTGAGTTTTCAGTTGTATATAGTCCTGGGGACCATTCAGGCTTGTTTGCATTTGTGTTCCTCACGTGTGCCCCAAAGAATGAGGTGATTTGATAAAATGCTATGCCCAAGATTACCATCCGAGTGCCGGCGGGGAAGTGGTTCAAATAGCCTCGGCTATCACTTCCTTATGTCCGGTCGTGATGGTCAAGCGGATTAAGGCGTCCCTGTACATACCAGTTGTGGGAGTATGGGTTCGAGTCACTTCTGGGGTGTGAGTTTTCAGTTGTATATAGTCCTGGGGACCATTCAGGCTTGTTTGCATTTGTGTTCCTCACGTGTGCCCCAAAGAATGAGGTGATTTGATAAAATGCTATGCCCAAGATTACCATCCGAGTGCCGGCGGGGAAGTGGTTCAAATAGCCTCGGCTATCACTTCCTTATGTCCGGTCGTGATGGTCAAGCGGATTAAGGCGTCCCTGTACATACCAGTTGTGGGAGTATGGGTTCGAGTCACTTCTGGGGTGTGAGTTTTCAGTTGTATATAGTCCTGGGGACCATTCAGGCTTGTTTGCATATATATATATATATATATATATATGTGTGTGTGAGAGTAAGCAATACCTACATTATCAGTGATGGTGACTCCAGCCTTCCACACCTGGTACCTCCAGTCCACCGACGTCATGCTGCAACACCGCCATACAAACTCAGTGTTAAAAATATACATATTAATACACTTAAAATATTGAATTATTATCATATACATTTTATTTAAATAAATAAATAAATAATAAATTCAAATGTAAAATATATAAAATTTAAGGTTTGACTGTAATGAAGCACTCGTTATGTAAGACCCACAGTATCTCACCAGCACCCACGCTCAAGTGTCACGCTCAAGTGCCACTCAGAGTGCCACTAAGAGTATGCGCGACGGACTCAGGCACGTGCAAGCACAAAGGTTAGGGCACTCAATAGCACCAGAAATTAAGAAAGCAAATGAATTAAGAAAACACAAGCAAGAGCAAAAGACGTATCGAGAGACCCATACTATTTGGGTCTACTATATAACTTGCGAGAGAACCAGGGACTGTCCATGGGATAGGCTTGGAAAAGGGTTGACGAAAGACGAGGGGAGTGGGAAAGGCAGCAGAACAGAGACATCGTATAGAAGAACACAAATGGAGACGCAAGAGGATTGGAAACTGTGTTGGTGAGAGAGTCAGCAACAAGGTAGGTGAGAGGTCCAGGGGAAGAATAGGCAAGAGAAACTGAGAAGACGAGAGGGCCTGTGATTCAGCATGAAAGGATTGAGACAGGGCATAAATGAGCATCATGGAATGAGGGGGCAGGAACACTGGGGTTTGGTTTGAAAAAATACAGTGGAGGGGGAAAGAAGAGGGCAGAAAATAGTGCCAGAGTGTAGGAAGAGGGCAGAAAATAGTGCCAGAGTGTAGGAAGAGGGCAGACAATAGTGCCAGAGTGTAGGAAGAGGGGCAGGCAATAGTGCCAGAGTGTAGGAAGAGGGCAGACAATAGTGCCAGAGTGTAATAAGAGGGCAGACAATAGTGCCAGAGTGTAGGAAGAGGGCAGACAATAGTGCCAGAGTGTAGGAAGAGGGCAGACAATAGTGCCAGAGTGTAGGAAGAGGGCAGACAATAGTGCCAGAGTGTAGGAAGAGGGCAGACAATAGTGCCAGAGTGTAGGAAGAGGGCAGACAATAGTGCCAGAGTGTAGGAAGAGGGCAGACAATAGTGCCAGAGTGTAGGAAGAGGGCAGACAATAGTGCCAGAGTGTAATAAGAGGGCAGACAATAGTGCCAGAGTGTAGGAAGAGGGCAGACAATAGTGCCAGAGTGTAGGAAGAGGGCAGACAATAGTGCCAGAGTGTAATAAGAGGGCAGACAATAGTGCCAGAGTGTAGGAAGAGGGCAGACAATAGTGCCAGAGTGTAGGAAGAGGGCAGACAATAATACCAAAGATAGAGAAGAAGAAAGGGCCTGTGATAACGCAATAAAAAGACCAAGAATATGACTAGAAATGAGACAAACAAGAGAGGAAGTGAGAAGGTTAGGGGGGAAAAGACAGATGAGAGTAAAAAAATAAAAAGAAATGTAGAGAGTATAGGGAAAACCTGCGAGAAGATAGGGAACAGCAGACAAGATGACTGAAAAATGGGCTGGTGATAGGACCAGAGGTGTCAGGTGAGAGCTCATGAATACAACAGGCAATAGTCCTAGAGAACAACAGAACATGCTGTAGTGAGGTCAGGTCAGCGAACCAGAAGTGCACCAGGTAAGGTGGTGAAGAATAACACAGATGAGAGGTCCAGGTATACAAGAGATGAGAAAGTTACAGAGCGGTCAGATGAGAATGCTAAGAATGCAGCCGATGAGGGACTCAGAATAAAGCTGATAAGAGAGCCAGGAATATACTAAGTGACAGGGGTGCGACAATATACTATGACAGACAGAGTGAGTATAGTGCGAGGGGCCAGGTGTAGTGCAAATACGATACGCAGTTAAACATCAAATTCTAGGGGTCAGGAGAGACTAGCGAGATGGACATAGGAAAGTAAGTGTCAAAGCCAGAAAGATATGTAAATGGTTTCCACTGAAGGCAAATGGCATGGCTAGAGAGAGTAGGAAGGTGAAAGAGTAAGCAAGAGAATGCGTGCACAATGTTGAAGACAGGTGGGCGGGTCAAGGGGACGCCGCCAGGCAAGGAAGCATGCAGGCAGAAGGCAGGGGACGACGCTAGGCAAGGAAGCATGCAGGCAGAAGGCAGGGGACGACGCCAGGCAAGGAAGCATGCAGGCAGAAGGCAGGGGACGACGCCAGGCAAGGAAGCATGCAGGCAGAAGGCAGGGGACGACGCCAGGCAAGGAAGCATGCAGGCAGAAGGCAGGGGACGACGCCAGGCAAGGAAGCATGCAGGCAGAAGGCAGGAGACGACGCCAGGCAAGGAAGCATGCAGGCAGAAGGCAGGGGACGACGCCAGGCAAGGAAGCATGCAGGCAGAAGGCAGGGGACGACGCCAGGCAAGGAAGCATGCAGGCAGAAGGCAGGAGACGACGCCAGGCAAGGAAGCATGCAGGCAGAAGGCAGGGGACGACGCTAGGCAAGGAAGCATGCAGGCAGAAGGCAGGGGACGACGCCAGGCAAGGAAGCATGCAGGCAGAAGGCAGGGGACGCCGCCAGGCAGAGAGCAGGGAAGACGCATAAGAGGATAGCCAGACCAGAAGACCAGGCAAATACAAAAGCAAATTACTACATAACGTTAAGGGAAGCAGATCTATCAAGACTAGGGAGACGACAAGAGAGAATACCAGCAAGAAGACAGTGGCAAAGGTAAGGGAATAGGCAGAGAAAAAGCCTTGGGGAAAAATAGCATAACGGCAAGGGAGAGAACCAGGGCGAAGAGAGAGAAGGTAAGAGCTAGCAAGAAGACCAGGGAGAGGGCTCGTGCGGGAGCCACAGTGAGAGACAGTCATGTGTACTGTATATGGAGAAGGCTAGGCCCTTTCCAGGAGAGGGTAGGAAGGAAGAGGCTACCCACCCTGGGGATAGAGAAAATACAGGAAGCAATTGAGAGAAGAGTGAGCCTTTACTCACTATCCAATAATGCCAGTGGAAGCCTCCTCCTGCTTGAAGCTCATGGTGGTCTCCATTCCCAGCAGGTTGGAGATGGCATCGAAGTCGTAGGTTTCACTGTACTTTTGTCGCACCTTCTTCTTCACGAACTTGTCCCAGTAATTGTTGGGGAAACTCCTGTAGGCAAGAGTCAACTTTGGAATTATGTGTGTTAATATTGTGGTTGCCGTATCCAACACAACACTCATTTAACTACAGCATTGCATAGCTAATACAGCAGTTCTACTTTACTACAGTATGGCATAATACAGTATTCTTGTACTATAGCATGGTATAACTAAAACTAATACAGTTATGTTCTACTTTACTACAGCATGGTGTAACTTATACAGTTCTGTTCTACTTTACTACAGCATGGCATAAATAATACAGTACTGTTGTACTACAACGTGGTATAACTAATATAGTACTGTTGTCCTGTATGTCATAACTAATACAGTACTGTTGTACTACAACGTGGTATAACTAATATAGTACTGTTGTCCTGTATGTCATAACTAATACAGTACTGTTGTACTACAGCATGGTATAACTAATTCAGTACTGTTGTACTACAGCATGGTATAACTAATTCAGTACTGTTGTACTATAGCATGGTATAACTTATAACTTCTAAGTTATATATAACATTGTTTCACATGATAATTGTGTATGGAGTATAGTATGTACAAGAGGTAAAGCCAAGCATGAGTGGCCGGCGAGGACGTACTTGGCAGAGATGACCAGCTTGTCCCAGTGGGCCTTGATGTCGTCGTCCTCGGGCTGCTCAGCGACATATATCCCGTCGAACTCCAGGCGCCTAGCCACGTCCTTCTCGCGCTTGAATATCACCAGCGGTATCTGCGGCATGATAGCGGTCGTCAGGCGCGGCACAGAGGCTATTAGGTCGTAGCAAAGGTCATTTTAAACACAGGTGTTTAACACTACAAACACAGACATTGCTCTAGTGTGCACAGCCATCTGTGGATCACAGCTTAGAAGCAGTCGGTGGAGACAGCCTGGAGATCGGCTGCCAGCCCAGCCCACAACGACAGTACCTACGACCCGGGAACACTACTCGAGCACACGGCCCAGGCACATGGCCCAGGTATGCAGCCCGAGCACTCGGCCCGGTACGCGGCCCGGTCACAATGACCGGGAAAAAGACTGATTGTATCCACATTGTTTGTTTCCGTCATTATCGTAAACGTTCTAATCATACTGCCATTTCGCTTCAATGTAATTCATTTTAGTTCAAGTAAATGTTTGCACCATTGTAACTATAATTTTGTTATTTATGATGGAGCATCATACGCTGGAAGGGGGTTGATACCGGCCGCATATAATATTCTGAAGGATTTCTTAGTCAGGTTCATGAACGACATTGTTTCTGTGCAGGTTTTGCACATGCAGTTGATTGTATCCTATTAAAGTACGCTTCAGCTTGTCTTATATCCTCTCGATGTGATTTTTCCTTTTGTATATTTCTGCAACTGCTTTCCTGTTATGCTGCGTTGCTCTTCTGGTCTCCTCTCTCGACCCTCATTACATGTTTAGGGACCAAACACCTGTACTGCCTCCCTCAAGCCTGCCCGGAGTCTTCCTACAGTCTTCCTTCACTTCTTACCAATGGTGCTACATAGTCTCCCGGCTTATTGTGATAATTACTTCATTTCTTACCAGTTTAATGAGTTTAGCATCACTTGCAAACATTGACATACCATCCCGCCTACTCCAGAGTCTTTACATAATTTAAACGCAGCAGAAGTACAGTCGGGTTCGTTTTCGACGCACAATCCAAAATTCCGGGATCGAACCCTGGGCGGGCCTGAAGTGGTTGGTCACATTTCCTTTCACCTAATGCATGTATTCACCTAGCAGTGAGTTGGTACTCAGGAGTTAGTCAGCTTGTTGTGTGGTTGGATCCTGGGCGGGGTCAGTAAGTGGGCCTTTGTGGTGGGTGGGGGGGGGGGAGGTGCAGGGGAAGGACTGTCCCTTTTACCCGACATAATGAATTATTATTAAATTATTATATACACTGGCTGCCTGTCCCCCGACACAATGAATTATGAATTATTAGGTACACAGTTTTGAAGAATGTCGCTTGCCATTACTCTCTATTCTGACTTCGTCTCTCACTACAATGCTCTGTTCCCTGTTTGTCCGATATTTTCCATCCTAGTCCAGTATTCTACAAGAACCCCCCCCCCCCAGCCTGCTTGTCTAACTTTATGTATTAGGCTTTTGTAGTAAATTTATGAAAGGTTCTCTCTTGTTGAATCTTTGTCAACATTTTTTGAAGAACTCAATCTGGTTTCAAAACCTACTTTCTGTTTATGTCTCTTATCGTGTCTCTCATAAACAATGTTAATCATCTTCAGGTGGTTCACTATAATGGCTGACTCTTTCCCTAATATTTTGCAAAGTAGAGAAGTCAGTGAGGCAGGTGTGTATTTCAAGGCCATATATAGTTTACGTCTGGAGACAGCTGACTGGAGAAGAACCGTGGTCACAAGACTCGTGTTCTCACCATGACTGACCCAACACTCCTCAACCACTAACAACAGAAGCGGGACGTCAGTCCATGACCATAACAAAATTAAGATAACGCATATAACATAAAAGACTATCTCACGAGAGAGACGTAAGGATAATCAACATATTAGGTAATTCCTCACATGGTGAGAACTACCGTACAAGAGCTTGTACGCCAACGACTAATGTTTTAGCGAGGGACAAAACCCACAGACCTGCCACAGCAAGTGACCACCTTAGGAGGAGAGCGACCACAGCAGAGGAATGAGCCGCACAAGTCAAGATAACTCTGAAACACCGACTGGCAAAAATTACAGAATTACTCAAAGGCTATGTAACATGCAATGTCTTCCAAGATGGAGGTGTTAAGCCTGGAGGAGGTAGTGTGGGTGAGGAGTAACACACTGTACTCTGGTAACACCGTGTGACAACATCTGCGGCTCCTCTACAACAGTGGTCTGGTAACACAGTGTGACAACATCTGGGGCTCCTCTACAACAGTGGTCTGGTAACACAGTGACAACATCTGGGGCCCCTCTACAACAGTGGCCCGGTAACACAGTCACAACATCTGGGGCTCCTCTACAACAGTGACCTGGTAACACAGTGTGATAACATCTGGGGCTCCTCTACAACAGTGACCTGGTAACACTGTGACAACATCTGGGGCCCCTCTACAACAGTGACCTGGTAACACAGTGACAACATCTGGGGCCCCTCTACAACAGTGGCCCGGTAACACTGTGTGACAACCTCTGGGGCCCCTCTACAACAGTGGCCTGGTAACACAGTGACAACATCTGGGGCCCCTCTACAACAGTGACCCGGTAACACAGTGACAACCTCTGGGGCCCCTCTACAACAGTGACCCGGTAACACAGTCACAACATCTGGGGCCCCTCTACAACAGTGACCTGGTAACACAGTGACAACATCTGGGGCCCCTCTACAACAGTGACCTGGTAACACAGTGACAACATCTGGGGCCCCTCTACAACAGTGACCTGGTAACACAGTGACAACATCTGGGGCCCCTCTACAACAGTGACCCGGTAACACTGTGTGACAACCTCTGGGGCCCCTCTACAACAGTGACCTGGTAACACTGTGTGACAACCTCTGGGGCCCCTCTACAACAGTGGCTCGGTAACACAGTGACAACATCTGGGGCTCCTCTACAACAGTGGCCTGGTAACACTGTGTGACAGCCTCTGGGGCCCCTCTACAACAGTGGCTCGGTAACACAGTGACAACATCTGGGGCTCCTCTACACCAGTGATCTGGTAACACAGTGACAACATCTGGGCCCCTCTACAACAGTGACCTGGTAACACTGTGTGACAACCTCTGGGGCCCCTCTACAACAGTGACCTGGTAACAGTGACAACATCTGGGGCCCCTCTACAACAGTGGCCTGGTAACACTGTGACAACATCTGGGGCTCCTCTACAACAGTGACCTGGTAACACAGTGACAACATCTGGGCCCCTCTACAACAGTGACCTGGTAACACTGTGTGACAGCCTCTGGGGCCCCTCTACAACAGTGGCTCGGTAACACAGTGACAACATCTGGGGCTCCTCTACAACAGTGACCTGGTAACACAGTGACAACATCTGGGCCCCTCTACAACAGTGACCTGGTAACACTGTGTGACAGCCTCTGGGGCCCCTCTACAACAGTGGCTCGGTAACACAGTGACAACATCTGGGGCTCCTCTACAACAGTGGCCTGGTAACACTGTGTGACAGCCTCTGGGGCCCCTCTACAACAGTGGCTCGGTAACACAGTGACAACATCTGGGGCTCCTCTACACCAGTGATCTGGTAACACAGTGACAACATCTGGGGCCCCTCTACAACAGTGACCTGGTAACAGTGACAACATCTGGGGCCCCTCTACAACAGTGGCTCGGTAACACAGTGACAACATCTGGGGCTCCTCTACACCAGTGATCTGGTAACACTGTGACAACATCTGGGGCCCCTCTACAACAGTGACCTGGTAACACTGTGACAACATCTGGGGCCCCTCTACAACAGTGACCTGGTAACACTGTGACAACATCTGGGGCTCCTCTACAACTGTGACCTGGTAACACAGTGACAACATCTGGGCCCCTCTACAACAGTGATCTGGTAACACTGTGACAACATCTGGGGCCCCTCTACAACAGTGACAACATCTGGGCCCCTCTACAACAGTGACAACATCTGGGGCCCCTCTACAACAGTGACCTGGTAACAGTGACAACATCTGGGCCCCTCTACAACAGTGGCCTGGTAACAGTGACATCTGGGCCCCTCTACAACAGTGGCCTGGTAACAGTGACAACATCTGGGGCCCCTCTACAACAGTGACAACTTCTGGGCCCCTCTACAACAGTGACAACATCTGGGCCCCTCTACAACAGTGGCCTGGTAACAGTGACAACATCTGGGGTCCCTCTACAACAGTGACAACATCTGGGGCCCCTCTACAACAGTGACAACATCTGGGCCCCTCTACAACAGTGGCCTGGTAACAGTGACAACATCTGGGCCCCTCTGCAAGTGACAACATCTGGGGCCCCTCTACAACAGTGACAACATCTGGGGCCCCTCTACAACAGTGGCCTGGTAACAGTGACAACATCTGGGGCCCCCTCTACAACAGTGGCCTGGTAACAGTGACAACATCTGGGCCCCACTACAACAGTGACAACATCTGGGGCCCCCTCTACAACAGTGGCCTGGTAACAGTGACAACATCTGGGCCCCTCTACAACAGTGACAACATCTGGGCCCCTCTACAACAGTGACAACATCTGGGGCCCCTCTACAACAGTGACAACATCTGGGCCCCTCTACAACAGTGACAACATCTGGGGCCCCTCTACAACAGTGACCTGGTAACAGTGACAACATCTGGGCCCCTCTACAACAGTGGCCTGGTAACAGTGACATCTGGGCCCCTCTACAACAGTGGCCTGGTAACAGTGACAACATCTGGGGCCCCTCTACAACAGTGACAACTTCTGGGCCCCTCTACAACAGTGACAACATCTGGGCCCCTCTACAACAGTGGCCTGGTAACAGTGACAACATCTGGGGCCCCTCTACAACAGTGACAACATCTGGGGCCCCTCTACAACAGTGACAACATCTGGGCCCCTCTACAACAGTGGCCTGGTAACAGTGACAACATCTGGGCCCCTCTGCAAGTGACAACATCTGGGGCCCCTCTACAACAGTGACAACATCTGGGGCCCCTCTACAACAGTGACAACATCTGGGGCCCCTCTACAACAGTGGCCTGGTAACAGTGACAACATCTGGGGCCCCCTCTACAACAGTGGCCTGGTAACAGTGACAACATCTGGGCCCCTCTACAACAGTGACAACATCTGGGGCCCCTCTACAACAGTGACAACATCTGGGGCCCCTCTACAAGTGACAACATCTGGGGCCCCTCTACAACAGTGACAACATCTGGGCCCCTCTACAACAGTGGCCTGGTAACAGTGACAACATCTGGGCCCCTCTACAACAGTGACAACATCTGGGCCCCTCTACAAGTGACAACATCTGGGGCCCCTCTACAACAGTGACAACATCTGGGGCCCCTCTACAACAGTGACAACATCTGGGGCCCCTCTACAACAGTGACAACATCTGGGGCCCCTCTACAACAGTGACAACATCTGGGGCCCCTCTACAACAGTGACAACATCTGGGGCCCCTCTACAACAGTGACAACATCTGGGGCCCCTCTACAACAGTGACCGGGCGAGCTGGCTATAAATTAGCAGCGAGACTCTTGGTGGTCTATTTACGGCTAAATATCGGTCGGCGAGAGCTTTGTGTATAGATGAAATAACCTTCTGTGGGCCATTTTGGGCTGGAGAGGTAAATATCCAGGGTCTCCCATGCCCAAGTAATGGCTCGGTGTGGGCATTTGTATACGTCCCATTTACGGTGGAGAGTAACTCTCGAGTAACTCGAACTCGAGTAACTCGAACTGTCTTATAGTTCGTGTTTGGTGATGTCTCCGCGAGCATTATATGGTGGTATAACCTTCAGGTAAATATTAAATACTTTACTATGCAGCGGAGAATTATATACATGGCAATAAATTATTTATACGATGAAGAACGTGTTTTCTCACAAAGCAAACATGATGAAAATGTTTGAGCATAGCAGTAGGAGAGCATTATACGCACCTTGAGATTGTAGTAGGCGAGGAGCATGCAGAGAGCAACGATGCTGTGGGTGACGGAGAAGAGACGGATGACGTGTTCCAGGTAGAAGTACCGGTCATCCATGTGGATCCACTCCTCAACCTCAAGGAACAAAAATTTCGTATGAAACTGTTAGTTTACTCATAATAAATAATACAAACTTGCCTTTACATTAGCTTAGACAGTCACTGGAGTGGAGCCATTGAAAAGGGTAGTTTAGTAGTTTAGTCAACCAACACAGTGAAGCAAACACAGATTAACCTGAATGATACCAATATAAAAACACAAACAATATGACATTTTGCGTCTCCTTAATTTTGATTGGCCAGCAACAAGCAATATAGACATGGCAAAATCAGATAATTTTCAATGCAGACATTTCACTACTTATAAATTATAAAATGTTTATAGGTAAATTTAGGTCTGTATTTTTAATGTAACTACTTTACCTAAAAAATCTTATCTATAATAATGCTGCAGAATAAATTGAATATCTCAATAAATGTAGTCCTAATTGTCTTCTCAAAGCTTGTGAATCTTTGTTTACATGTGGGCAGATTAGTCAAAGATTTCATTAAAGAAACTGCTTCAGATAGATGAATATGAATTTAGCAACAGTGATCAAGCTGTCTATAAATACCTTGTATTTGTGGTAATTTATATCAAATGACATTTACACAGTGTAAATATTTGGATTAAGTTAAAGCTTAAGGATTGTCAGTATTGAGCCAAACCTTTGAGCACTAACTACTAACATAGAGTACAACACTAACCTCCTCCTCATCTTCGTCGTCGTCATCGTCATCACCTAAGGTAAAGTTGCCAGAGCCGAGTTCGTCTCCGTCAGCGTCGCCGAGAACGGCGGCGTCCCCGGAGCCCAGCAGGTCGCCCGAGCCAAAGGCGAAAGGATTGTTCACCGCCACAGCTTCCTCTTCCTCCTCCACACCTCCCAGGGCTGACGCCTGAGTAACCAACGTATCAAAAATTATATCTATAACTTATGATTTTTAAATCGCAAGCAATTCAGTATTAAAGTTCTATACAGTGAAAAAGTACAATTTAATGCCCTTCCAGATCCAACCCTTCACTCTATCAAACCCCCCATACATTACGTCCTCCTTTGATGGAGTGATAGACGGCCGACACACCTTAATAAAAACATATACAGCTACGTAAAAACGTATACAGCTCATAGTGCCTGGTTTAGGAGCTAGTTATACCATTGGTCTCACTAATGCTGGCTGGCAACCTGTTCTTGCCAACTATTCTCTCATCCCGTTGAGAATCCTTCCTGACTCTGAACATCTTCAGCTAACTTGGTTCTGACTTGGTCTGAGAGCATTAAGTTCGTGCTCATATCATCCCTGATAATACACATATCCATTAAAAGACATATTAATGTTTTCTTTCGCCATGTGGTTCTTGAGGACATGTAGACCCCTGCCTCTCCTAGTATGGCAGGTCCCAACATCAGCAGTCATGTAGACCCTGCCTCTCCTAGTATGGGAGATCCCAACATCAGCAGTCACACTTGTGATTCTGTGGTGGGTCTTCACAACCTGTCTCCACTTTGTTAGGCATTGACCAGAATTGGACGCTATAGTTCAAGTGGGGCCCCATCAAGGCCCCATCAAGGCCCCGTCAAGGCCCCGTCAAGGTCCCGTCAAGGCCCCGTCAAGGCCACATCAAGGTCCCGTCAAGGCCCCATCAAGGTCCCGTCAAGGCCCCGTCAAGGCTCCATCAAGACACAGTCAAGGCTCCATCAAGACACAATCAAGGCCCCATCAAGGTCCCATCAAGGCCCCATCAAGGCCCCATCAAGGTCCCGTCAAGGCTCCATCAAGACACAGTCAAGGCTCCATCAAGACACAGTCAAGGCTCCATCAAGACACAATCAAGGCCCCATCAAGGTCCCGTCAAGGCCCCATCAAGGCCCCATCAAGGCCCCATCAAGGCCTCACACCCATGGCCTCATCATGGATGATGTTCGTGCATGTCTTGCTGTTTCTACTATTTATAAACCTTCAGGTATTATATTTGCTTTATTGCACACAAAGAGGCACTGCTGCTTGGGTCTTGGGTTACTGGCAGTCACCACCTTCCCTACCCTTCACCACCTTCCCTGCCCTTCACCACCTTCCCTGCCCTTCACCATCTTCCCTACCCTTCATCACCTTCCCTGCCCTTCACCACCTTCCCTGCCCTTCACCACCTTCCCTGCCCTTCACCATCTTCCCTACCCTTCATCACCTTCCCTGCCCTTCACCACCTTCCCTGCCCTTCACCACCTTCCCTGCCCTTCACCATCTTCCCTACCCTTCATCACCTTCCCAACCCTTCACCACCTTCCCTACCTTTCACCACCTTCCCTACCTTTCACCAACATCCCTACCTTTCACCACCTTCCCTACCCTTCACCACCTTCCCTACCTTTCACCAACATCCCTACCTTTCACCACCTTCACTGCCCTTCACCACCTTTCACCACTTTCCCTGCCCTTCACCACCTTCCCTACCTTTCACCACATTCCTACCATTCACCACCTTCCCTACCCTTCACCACCTTCCCTACCCTTCACCACCTTCCCTACCCTTCACCCCTTCCCTACCCTTCACCACCTTCCCTACCCTTCACCACCTTGCCTACCTTTCACCACCTTCCCTTCCCTTCACTACCTTCCCAACTTTCACCACATTCCCTACCATTCACCACCTTCCCTACCTTTCACCAACATCCCTACCCTTCATCAACTTCCTTACCCGGGAGGGTAGAGAGGGAGAAGGGAGGGATTAGGAGGGTGGGGGAGAATGGAGGGCTTTGAGGGGTGGGGAGAACGGAGGGGCTTGGGGGTGGGGGAGAAGGGAGAGTTTGGGAGGGTGGGGGGTGAAGGGAGGCCCTGGGAGGGTGCCCTAGGTGGGCACATAATGGAGGCCTGGCAGGGGTTGGGGCAGGTAGGATGTCTATTGGGTGGAAGGTGGGGGTGGTGCTCCTCTCCCTGTGGCTGTTGAACTGCTTGTGGAGGGTTCCTCACTCCCCCTCTTGGATTGTAAGTTTCAGGTTTGTTGATCCCTGATTTCTTTCTTTCTCCCTGCGCTCTCTTCTCACGTCTGCTGCCCTCATTCTCTTGTCCCTTGTCATATCCCTCTGCAGGAATACTTTTTGAACTTCAGTACATTTGCTAGTTCGGTCTTCCTGGCTAACACGTCCTCTTTTGTATTCTTGCTCATGAATACCACCTTTATCAATTGGTCTCTGTCCTTGTTGAACTGTCCAAGCCTGAAAACCTTTTCGATATTCTGGTCAGCCCTCTCCATCTTTACCTCTTTAAGGATCTCGGTAACTGCGTTTTTGTCCTTGTCTCTCCACTCTGCTGGGCTGGTCCCTGTTTGCTTCTAAATGCCTGCTAATACTACTGCTCTTTTTCTCTCTATCAGCTAGCTAGTACATCTAGCTGTGGTGCTCCACTTGTGACATTCCTCCAATCTGATACATTGCCTCTGATTACAGCCCTCAATTTTCTATGAGTTAGGAAATTTTTCATCCATGTTAGAAGCTTACCTGTCACCCCTCCAATATGTTCCAGTTTCCAAAACAACCTCTTATGTGGAATTCTGTTAGAAGCCTTTTTCAGGTCTAGATAGATGCAGTCAATCCAACCATCTCTTTCCTGTAACATCTTTGTGGCTAGATCATAGAAACTGAGTAAATTCGTTACACAGGATCTTCCAGATCGAAAACCATACTGCCTGTCTGATATTATATCGTTTTTCTCAAGGTGTTCTACCCATTTAGTTTTAATTATTTTTTCCAATATTTTGACTATTACACTTGTCAATGATACAGGTGTATAATTGATGGGGGTCTTCCCTGCTGCCACTTTTATAGATTAAAACTATGTTACCCTGTTTTCACACATCAGCTACAACTCCTGTACACAGGGATGCCTGAAAAATCAGTAGAAGTGGAATGCTGAGCTCAGGTGCACATTCTCTCAGAACCCATGGTGAAACTTCATCTGGACCAACAGCTTTGTTCTTAGCTCCTTGAGCATTTTTTCCACTTCGTCTCTAGACACCTCTATGTGCTTTATGTTGTTCTCTGGAATTTTTATTGTGTCTGCTTCCATGATGATTTCATTTTATACAAACACACTTAGGAACTTTTCGTTTAATTTAGGTTGCGTCTTTGCCTTGCTTGCTATATCATTTTCTTATTGACCTTCTGCCTCTTTTCTGGCCCTGATGCATTCATTCCTGCCCCTTTGGTATCTTTCTCTACTCTCAAGTGTCCTGTTTTTCTATAGTTTCTCGACGCCCTTTTACTTAGTTGCTTTGCTAGCTTACATATCTGATTAAACCATAGGTTTCTCATCTGCATTTCGTTTTTTGTTTTTGGACTGGGACAAACTTGTCTGCTGCCTCCTTACACTTTTGCGTGATGTAGTCCATCATGACTTGGGCCGTATTTTTTCCGAGCTCTGTTTTCCTTGTTATATCTGTTAGGAATTTTCTGATCTCCTCATAGTTTCCCTTTCGGAATGCCAGCCCTTTGTTTTCAGTTCCCTTCCTTCAGTTATTTCACTTTTCTTCGACGAGATACTCAAACGTCAGTACACTGTGATCACTCATTCCTACTGAGGCCTCGAAACCGATTTCCCTTATGTCGGAGTCGTTCAGGGTGAAGACTATATCGAGTCTCGCTGGTTCATCGTTGCCTCTCATTCTTGTGGGTTTTCTGACATGCTGGCTTAAGAAGTTTCTTGTCACCACCTCCAATAGTTTAGCTCTCCGTGTATCCTCACCTCTATGCAGTTCCTTGTTCTACCAGTCTATCTTTCCATAATTGAAGTCCCCCATGAGGAGCAGGTGGGATCTGTTTCTACAGGAAGCAGCAGCTGCCCTCTCAATTATAGTGTTAACTGCCATGTTGTTGTTATCATACTCTTGCCTGAGTCTTCTATCGTTTGGTTGAGGGTTATACATGTATATCACTGCTACCACTACTCTTGGCCCTCCCATTGGCATGGTGCCTGTTATGTAGTCTCTAAACCCTTCACAGCCCGGGATAACCATCTCCTTAAATCTCCATTCCTTTCTCATTTGTAGGGCCATTCCACCTTCCCCTCTTTCTTCCCTCTCTCTTTCCTTATTAGTGTGTAGGCCTGGGAAACACCACATTTGTTATGATTCCTGAGAGTTTTGTTTCTGTGAGTCCAATTACATCCGGGTTCACCTCTTATGCTCTTTTCCTTAGTTCACTTGCCTTGCTTGTAATCTCATCTATATTCGAGTACATCACCATGAAACTGATTCTCTTCTGTCCTTCCTAGGTTTCTGTTGATTCTCCTGAAGTAGGGAAACAGGGAAGGTCCGGGCTTGAAGGGCTTAGGATGGGGGGACCTGGAGTATCTGGGTGTGTAAGGGAGCTGGGAGGATCTGGTATGGGGAGAGTGGTGAAGGAGGGAGGGCTTGGGGGGAGAAGGGAGGGCTTGGGGGGAGAAGGGAGGGCTTGGGGGGAGAAGGGAGGGCCTGGGGGAGAAGGGAGGGCTAGGGGCGGTGGGGTAGAAGGGGGTTGGGGGCTTGGGAGGGGGTTGGGAGGAGGAGGGGGGCTTGGGGAGGTGGGAAAGAAAGGAGGTCCTGGGGAGAGTGGGGGAGGGTGCCTTAGGTGGCCACTCAGTGAGGGCTGGCAGGGGTTGGGGCAGGCAGGACTTCTATTGGGTGGGAGGTGGCAGTGGTGCTCCTCTCACTGGGGCTGTTGAACTGCTTGTGGAGGGTTTCTCACTCCCCTCTCACCTATTTGTACTCACCTATTTGTACTTGCAGGTGTTAAGCTCTGGTTCTTTGGTCCTGCCTCTCAACCGTCAATCAACTGTTGTACAGATTCCTGAGCCTACTGGGCTCTATCATATCTACATTTGAAACTGTGTATGGAGTCAGCCTCCACCACATCACTGCCAAATGC